TTTTTTGGATTTCTAAATATTTTTTTGGATTTGCAAAATATCTTTGGATTTGTCAAACTTTTCGACAGTGAGTTTAAAATAAATATTGCGATTTGAAATATTTTCGGGATTTGAAAAATATTTTTGGATTGTCCCTTTTCGGCTTCCATACTAATGGATATTGTTAAAGGAGGGTTTAACAGGTCATGCTTGTCCATGTGGACAATAATTATGTGTCATGGGCTGTTGTCACACACTTTGCCAAGTTACCTGTTGCCTTTTCATGAAAACATTATTATTAACCAACTAGTTTCTTTTTCAAATTTTGTCATGGTTTTGATTAATTGGTAACAGGAGTTCATGTTGTCTAATTTTGTCTGAAATCATAGTTGTGGATCAGACTCACAATTTGTGGTCATTCCAATTTGTTTATCACTTGTATGACTACAGACCAAATTGGACTCCACTCAGGTCTATTAGCATTATTAATCCTGGTCACAAAGCATTTAAGCCATGGTTGTCTTCAAATGTATATTTTATGCAGACATAACTCTTTGCACATGACCAATTTTGACATATTGCCTTTTTAGTGAAAAATTAACTGCACCTTAGAATATCATAATTTGTGCAAGCACCAAGAAGTTATTTGTTATAATTACGGCATCGAAGCGTAAAGTCTGAAGGTCTGAGGTTCAATCCTCATGGGGACTCAGATTTTTTTCTTTGTCCCACACTCATGACAAGACAATTAACATCTTTCTTTATTATTTCTTTATTGAGCTCAAAACTTACCATCTTTCCTATTCTCTACATACCTACCTGTACATAACTTTATTGAGGCTCCTTTTGTAAGGTTTTCAGTAGTAATTAAGAAAGTGTGAAGTGAAACTTGAAGCTATGGGTCTACATATGATTGTTTCAGTTCAAAAGAAATAAAAGTAAGATAACCAGCCAGTAGGATATTGAGTCTTTTCATAGAGGCACCTTGATTTCCTCAACATTTGAGTTTGTGGGGAATTTCATTTCAGAATGCAAATGACCACTGACCTGTGGTTAGCCAGACTTTTGGGAAGTATAGATCCTGGTGTTGTGTTGTTGTTGTGCCGTGGAATCCAACTTGATTAAATCAATCCTATCCATTGCAAAAGTAGACAGTAGATATAGCTAGTTGTTCTTGAGATTTTTCCTCTGGAGTGTTGCACAAACCTCATGACACACATAGCCACCAATGTAGCGAGGGATACCTTTTCTTTCTACTTAGGTAGAGTTCTTGAGTCCAAAACTGATATATTTCATCCTCGCTTGTAGGTTCTGGAAACCTTTCAACCCACTTCTGGGAGAAACATTTGAATTTATTAACCCCACTGCTGGATATGCCCTAATAGCAGAGCAGGTAAGTAGATAACACAGCATTATGGTATTTTGTTGTTAGCTGAATTAATTGATATCCAACCAATTGTTTTTTTTATTTATGAATTGGTCCCTTAATTTGTTCCTTTGATTTGTGGTTAGTGACAGCTTAGATTTTAAGAAATAGAACAATGAAATGAACTTTTTTCCACAACCTTTGTCCTAAAGGTTGAAAAGGTTTGACCTTTGTGAATTCTCCTGTCCCCTATTTTCCACTTTCAGTTGCTCTATTGAAGCCAATCTTGATTAAATTGTCTGATTCTGACACTAAGTTAAAAATTACATAAATGGTATCTTCCTGGAGTTCATTTTGTATCTAATATGCCTGGCAAAATCATGGGGTTGTACATGAACTACTTATAGGTGTACATGAATGGCCTGACCCGCATGAAAATGTCTGGCCAGACACAACCCTAACCTCAACTAGACAAGAGCTTAACTGAACAGAGCATAAAAGAGTCTAACAAGAACCTGATACAGAGAGGGAAGGGAGTGGTAATCAACCTTGCGAGAGCCAGACAAACAGTTTCTCACGTTAAAGTTGATGACGGCTAGCGAGAGATGTTAACTTGGAAACTTCCAATCTTCTGGTGTATGACAGGCCAGGACCATAAATGATAGACAGGGCCCACTTCTGAATTGTTTCAATTTCATTGCTTGGATATGATGGTAAAGGGTAGTGAAATGTGGATGACACTACATATGCATGAAAAGTAGAACCTCACCATATCCGCAACAGGCATTTTGACGCATTTGAGTTGTCTTAGAAAAATAAAGCATACATTTTGATGTTTTTTTAATGATATAATTTACATGGCAGTTCCACTTAAGGTCATTACTGATGATTAGCCACAAGCTTTAGCTTGCCTGATGAGTTGGAGTTCTTCACCATTAATCATTAAGAGGGTGCATTGCGATTCGGACCTGGAGAAAGATTTTCAGATTTCTTTACACTAATCTTCATTGAAGGTGAACTTTAAATTTGTGGATTGGATACAAATCGAGTCAATGGCTGGTTGCATTTTACTTGCAAATCCTCTCTGGACAATTTCAGGAACTGTGAGATCAACATATTTTCAAAGGTTAACTCCATTGACATCTAGGTCGTTAATCATAAGGATGTAAAGCCATGGTCCCAATTTGGTCCCCTGAAGGACACCTGCTGGAATTAAGGACCAATCAGAAAAAGTACCATTGCCTAACTTAACTCTCTGTTGACATTTGGTCAGAAAATCAATGACCCAGGCCACGACCCAGTATGTTAATTCAAGAGATTGGAGCTTCAGAACCAAGAGGTGGTGATCGATGATATCAAAGGCTTTGCAGAAATCAAGAAACGACACTCTCACCAAGTTACCATTGCCATCCATAGACTTGGAGAAGTGATGGATCATGCTAATCAGGGTGCATGTGGTGGAGAAACTTGGCACAGTACTGTATTTCCATAGATCTGTGTGTTTCATGATAGCTGGTTTTATAAAACTTTTGATGACAAACTCTTCTGCCACTTTGGACAAGATGGGTGTCAAATAAATTGGTCATAAATGCTTACTGGTTTCTGTTTTGGTAGGGGTGTGATATCTGCCTTCATCCACAATGCAGGTGACATGCACAGTACTAACTGTTAAGTATGTTATTGACAGGCTCAGCTAGGATGTTCGCATTTTCTTTCAGTACCCAGCCATGAAAACCATTGGGCCTGGAAGCTTTGGATGGTTTGAGGTGAATAAGCAGTTGAAAGACTTTGTCCACTGTGATCACATTGGCAAGCAGAGCAGAATCATCAAATGGCGAGGTCGTAGCTCCAAAAGATGTGAAGGAGGTCATAGGTTTAAGAAATCTCTGGTTGATAGAGTTGGCTAAGTTTGTTAGATGTTCATAGCTGCTAGAGTGATCTTCATTCTCTTGATTTAATGGTAAACACAGATCATTTGAAGGGGAAGAAACAGGATTCGTTCCACAAAGGGCTTTAACGGACTTCCACCACTGTTTGGGATTATTTCATTTCAGATGGTTGACTTTGGATTGATAGAAGGTACTTCTGCGTCTTTTACATTTACAGTTCACCTGGTAACAAAAAGCTTTGAACTTGATCATGTTGCCATTGGCAAGGGCCTTCTGCCATTGTTGAACAAGTGATTTAAGTTGGGGTGTAACCCAGGCAGGTTCATTGGTGCAATACTTCATTGTCTTTAAGGGTAACAAATTGTCCATTCTAGTGCAAATTACTGATTCAATAGTAGCCAGCTTATCATTGCAGTTTGAGTGTAGATCAAGGATTGACCAATCAATTTCATTTAAAAAGGTGCTGAAAGCAGCTTGGTGACTAGGTGTCAAGTCTCTGACCATGATGTTGCACTTTGCTTTACTACAGATGTGTGCTTTATTCTTAGATCTTGCCAAGATAGATATGTGGTTGGAAAGTCCAAATGGTGGTAGCTTTCCAGGAGATGAATAATGTTCACTCAAGTTGGTTAATGTAAGGTCAAGTGTGTTTGCACCACGAGTTGGAAAATCAACTAACTGCTCTAATCTAAATTGCCTGGAGAATCTACCAACATCTAGTTTGTTAAAATCACCAACAAGGATTAAGCCACAGTTTAGGAAAGTTGATTCTATGGAGGGAAGCTGATTGGTTAAGTATTCCAACGTTGCAGTGGCACTGGCAGAGGATGGATGGTAGACAATTCCATAACCATTGATAAGAGAACTGATGAAAAGGGCAAGTTTTAATCCAGAGGACTTCAAAGGGGAAAACATTATATTCATTTGATGTACGACTTCATATGGAATAGAGTCCTCTATGTATATACAGACACCTCCATGAAGACCAATAGTGCGATCCAAACATGCAGTGTTATAACCAGGAATGTCAATGGCACTTTTAGGAATTAAGTCACTCAACATGAGCTGAAAGGCAACTCCACTGATATGAAAGATATGAGTTATGAGTTGTGGAAGGCCCAAATGTTCCAAAACCTGTTGAATCTTAAAGCAATTTACTAGGCACCAAATTCATGAAGAACTGATGGAGGGTTAAACAAGAAGTTCATGACAGGTCTTTTTTTGAAAAGTCATAAAGAAATGCAATGGAGTGGAGCATGGGAGAAGGATATAAAGAGCAACATTGTGAATTGAACAATTCGAGATATTTAAAGTCCAATGATAAAATTCAAATGAACCATTTTCTTCCACATCCATGTGAACCAGTGAAAACTAGAGCTGAACAAACAATGATGGAATTTACAAATTTATCTTGCTCAGTCAATCAAACTGCAATAAACATGAAACACAACAAAAGGAAATACTGCATGGGATGTCTGTGTCTCTATTCACAGTTAAAGATGAAAGAAAACACACTTCAGTGATGATCAACATGCTGAAAAAGGAAACCTCTATGAATAGTTACAATGTTCTCCCTTCTAATTACCATTGAAGAACATGGTCTTGCTTCTTCTGTTTAACAGAACACCATTAGTCTTTCTAACTTTCCAAGCAAATTCAAGTGATGCTCTATGATATGCATCATTAATAGTGCACTTACTGTCTGTTAGGTCTGAAGGTTAGAGGTGACACCTACAATTTTGACTGAAGAATATGATAGTAATGATTGATTTGGAGAGAAAATGAGGGATTCCCACTTACAAAACAATTTAGGAAGCTGCAAATGAGCTTCATTTAAGCGATCCCTTGGTCTTGCATGTTTCATGCCAGGGCATAGCTTTATTCATTGTACTAGTAACTTGTTGCCATCTTGTCAATCTTTAATCTTCTGTTCCCTGAATTAGGGTAACAAATTAGTTTTTCTATGGAGGTGTAATACTATTATGGTGTTTTTATCTAATTAGATATCACTGTTGAAATCTGTCCATATGTAGGTATCACATCATCCTCCTATCTCAGCCCTTCATGCAGAATCTGATCACTGGATTTTCTGGCAGGAATATAAGCTTGATACTAAATTTAGGGGACAGGTATTACAGATACTTTCTTTAATTTTTAGCATAGGGTTTTCACTACTTATAATTATAATAACAATAACTATTGGGAGCATTATAAATTATATACAAGCTCTCTATGCTCTAACAATACCAGAAAATATATATACATATACATGTACATTAATTATATCATGTATATGACTATAGGTGCATTATTCAAATGTAAGTAATAAAGTTATTACGGTGGGTCTAAAATGCAGGTCACAGGTCACAGGTCACAGGTTTATGAGCGTTTTTTATGCGAAGACCCTATCGACTGTCCCGTGCATTCTTCGAAAAACAATCTTGTTCGAATTAAGCTTTTCAGTTTTCTTTTCAGCGGCTTCAGTTGGACCACAAACAAATTCAGTGACGACATACAACAGTTTAGATTAGCAGTATTTTTTGATCTGTGAAATTTAAGGAGAATGTAGGACTGCAGGTCATTTAGGTTGACAACTTTGACCAGTTTAACACCAGTCATATAGCCACAGCGTATGTTTCATTCATACTGACCTTGACGCCAAAATGATTGAGTCCTGAATCTCAAACAAATTTATCGTTTGTCCAGCATGAACAACCAGAATAATTTAGTCTCTTACCTCATAGCTCGATGAATCCATCATGCATGGCCATGAATCCCAGACATTGAATTTCGTGAGACTAAACATTCAGAGTGTCACACAATGAACAACTCCGCTGGATTTTTGTGTGTTTTTGGGCTCATAGGTTTTGGACACATGAATTTGTTTGTGGTCCAACTGAAGCCGCTGAAAAGAAAACTGAAAAGCTTCATTCGAACAAGATTGTTTTTCGAAGAATGCACGGGACAGTTGATAGCGTCTTCGCTCATTGATAAGTCTCATTGATAAGTCTAGGTAGACAGGTCCTGTTACCCATGAACTGTGACCTGTTACCAGTGACCTGTGACCCATCACCGGTGACCTGTGACCTGTGACCTGTGTTTTAGACCCGCCGAAGTTATTATAAAATATCTATTAAAGATACTTGTACAGTTATGTTGGAATATAACATATATATGACATGTGCCTATCTTCATAGTTTTTTAAGGTGATTCCAACCGGAATGTGTCACGTGAAGTTTAAAGCAGATGGTCATCACTTTACATGGCAGAAGCCAATCACAACAATTCACAACATCCTTGTTGGCAGTCTCTATGTAGATCAGGTGGGTCAACTTGTTTATTTCAGAGTCATTTGCCAAAGGCAATTCAATATTCTATCTTGTCATCAGTCTACGTCACTATGAAGTCACATGAGATGCGCATTGCTAGCCAGTGCTGAGCGTTTCGCTAGTTTAGTTTGTTGTTCGTGAGTGGGTTCCTGTATTTTATTTGCAAATCTTCAACATCTTCTGTTTTCCTTGCCTCTTCAGGGCAGCAAAGAAGGTAGGAGTTGTCCCTTTTCTGTATTTATTCTTTTTTGGTCTATAGTCTTGGTTTTCCCAACTGAAAATGAGTGTTGAAGGCAAATCGTCACCAAACCATGTGGTTGTCCCCACCGATGCGCCGGGAATGGCTTCTGAGTGGATATGGATACGAACAACCACATTTTAAATTCTTTAAACACCATTGATCGAACAATGGGCCAGATGGCCGGCCTTATAGCCAAGTTTTGCATACACATGACAAGCCAAGCGGCCGAAAAAGGTAAAAAAGATCGACCGATCCTCCATCGGACACTGATGAGCCCGAGTCAGAACATGAACATCACCCTCGCCGCTCAAATTCTAAAAGAGCACGAGAAAATACTCCATGGGATGACGATTTAAGCCTTCATGCGCAGGATGACCTTGATGATGAATATCTAAAACTGCTCACCGAGCAATCCTCGGCCACCGGCCAAGCACGGGAAACTCCCATTCCGGAGGCTAAGATCCTCCAAGATATTGCTAATGGTTTGAGGATGATGACGCCACCGGCGACAAAATCATGCAGCAACTGGCAGACATAGCCACAAAACGCTGGGGGAAGAAACTCTCTTCAGACAAGTTGAAAAACTTGCTCGACAAATATAATCGACCTGAAAATTGTGAAGACATCAAAGCCACAAAGGTCAACCCCAAAATATGGAACCAACTTAATCCTAATAAAAGGAAAGTTGATCTCCAGTTGTCAAATATGCAACAAGTAGTGCGTAAAGTTACTTTTGCAACCCTACAGACAACTAATGCCTTGTTGCAAAATGCCTCTTGTTCAACGAATTCCAACTTGATCATGCAGTCTGTTGATGTAGTTGCCTTGTTGGGCCAAGTCAACACCCAGTTGGCTCAGTTTGCAAGTGAACAGATCAAGCCTGCTTTAAAGCTCGAATACTCTACCATCTGCAGTGCTGAAGTACTCCTGACCAGCCAATATTTATTTGGGGATGAGCTCGCCAAACAGCTGCAAGATGCTAGGGAATCTAGCAAAATTAGCCAATCTGTGGGTCACTTTTGACAGCGATGGCCTTACACAGGGCACCATCGTTCTGGCCACCAGGAGAGTTATAATAAAGGGTCTAAAAGAGATTTCTTTATGGAAAGGTCAACAGAAATTCCACAGGAAAAAAAGCCTCTGATCAACGAAAAGAAATAGTTGACCAACTGTTAGCAATAAGAGATTCGGTAATTGATTTTCCTACATTTTTGCCCTGCCTTTTAAGTTATTTACATGCCTGTTGCCACAATTTTAAGGCAGGCGAGTCGCTGGTCATTTTGCAGCGTGGAAGGATCTTACTAATGATCGTGTAATTTTGTCTGATGTTTCGGGAGCCAGTATTGAGTTGTCTGCCAACCCTAGTCAACACAGGCTTCCTGGCCATGCTTTTAATGAGCACGAATATTCTGTTATCAACCAGGAAATACAAAAATTGCGCCAAAAAGGGGTTATTATGAAAGTGAAATACTCTCAGGGTCAGATTGTATCAGGAATTTTCTTGCTTCCCAAGAAAGATGGAACTTTTAGGCTCATACTTAACCTAAAAAATTTTAATGAGTTTTGTGACACATCATCATTTCAAGATGGATTCTCTTCAGACTATAATTAAGCTGGTAACACCCAATTGTTTCATGGCATCTATAGATATGAAGGATGCATACTATTCCATCCCTATTAAAAGTGAGGATCAAAAGTATTTGCGATT